TCTGGATATGCTCACAGCCAACTCAGAAAGGAAATTTAAAGAAATTTCCTTATCGAACTGGTCTTTTTTTGAAGGATAAGCTATACTGTAATAAGCCAATATTTGTTGCTTCTCTACGATAGTTTATCATTGTCAAATTTTATTCCTAATACTTAGTGAAAGGCTATGTATTTTAGAATTTTTCTCTTGAAAGATGTATTCTAGCAAATATGCAAACCAAATATAAAAAATAAGATCCTGTTCGACTCGAAATCAATCTCATATATAATTTTTATAGGCGAACTATTACATGGAATCAACACTCGGCCATCCTGTCTTCCAAACAGCTTTCGGTGAGTTACAAATTCCATAAATGCATGGATATTTACTGAAGTGAACAGTTTGCTTCAATGTTCTAAACCAAAAATATGAGTGCAAAATATTTAGGGAGGATCGCCATCAATATTTGTTATGGGCGCCATCACCCGCAGAATTGGATGATGTTTGCCTTGAATGGTGCAGAAATCATCTTCAATCCATCCGCCACCACCGGAGACTTGAGGTATTACGGAATTTCTAGAGATGTATATGTTAAAGTGGAGAAGCGGAAATCAACTTAGCTTTTTATAGCGAACCACTGTGGCGTATTGAGGCTCGTAACGCTGCAATTGCCAATCATTGCTATACTGTTGCTATAAATCGTGTGGGAACGGAGGAATTCCCCCACGAATTCACCTCTGGGAATGCACGTCCAGGTACCTTGAATGGGTATTTGCTAGCAATCTGCTTCTCTATGAAAAAAACCTAAGCATTTTTATCCTACCGTATTGGCATGCGCGGCCTGTCAATCAGCGCTCGTATTTTTGTTTTGAAACAGCAATGTAAGATTTGGTCTCCAAACAAAATTCAGTGCAAAAATATGGAGAACTAACTCCGCCTTGTCATTTGTTTAAAACACGAAGCCTTTAGGCAGTAACTGAAGAATCATGCGCGCGTCAAGACTTTTTCTAGATGTGAAATATAGATGTGACT